GAGGGCAGCGGAGGGTGTGAACAGAGAGGCACCCAGAGCAGCTCCGTAGGGTGGTAGTTTGAAAAAAGCAATGCTGGAAGCATTCAAGAGAATTAAGAGACTGTATTATTTTTTCTGTCGCAACACACATTTATTATGTCCTCCTTTCTGCAAGCCAGGAGTCCGGGGCCCCACATACTCTAAAAGTGTGGACCAGAGCTGCTTTCGCCTAAGGCTCACTGGTTGGGAATAATTCACTGTTGGTAGTCAAATTTGGCAACTTACGATTTCGGAGTCACAGACAGGAATGCAATCTCCTGCAGGCCGGCAGCCAGAGGCGGCCGCGGTCCCGTCCCGGGCCTTGCGGTGCAGGCATCCCACAGCATGGCGTCTGGCGACTCCCGAGCTGGCCGGGAAACAAGGCGCTCGGCTGACCAGCAGTGTAAGCTACGTACTTACAGGGGATCCTCCAGCGGCCTTGTTCTGCAAGTCACAGGCCCGCCCTCGTTCCTGGGCAGGGACTGGACACTGAGAAACAGGCCTCACGGGCTGCCCCAGAGCCTCCGGGGACACGGGCCGGTGCAGAGACAGAGAGTAGAGTGAGGGTGGATTAGTGCAAGCAGGAATTACCACTGGTGTGTTTGTTTCTCTGTTTTCGTACCTCCTGAGCCCTAGGCAACTGCTCTACCCCTGAGCTACAGCCCCAGCCCCTAGAATGCAGTTATGTAATAATTATGCTGTCTTGCCTATGCCATGTGAAACTGCATTCATTATCTCGTGTGACCCTGAGACCCTCTGAAATATGCACCAGGAAAACCTTTATTTCACAGGCAGTTAGGACCCGGCTTTGCAAAGCATCTGAGTCACTTGTATCCTAGTTTTGCACTCCGTGTCGGCACCTAGATTCCAGCCTCAGAAGTTAGGGTCGGAGCTCAGTCTCTGCCACTGCTCTACTTCAGATTAAAAGTAGACAAGATCCAAAATGCATGAAAATCAAAGGTGACACTGAGATTTTAAACCATTTCAACCTGGCGAATACTTGGAGAGCTGCCGTGAGTGGCACTAGTAAAGTAATAGCTTCCTACATAGGGGTAGGCAGAGAGTTCATGAATAAAAACCAAATTGCACGTGAAACACTTGAAAGAATCAACAACTGGGATCTCATCCTACTGAAAAGTTTCTGCACATCTAAAGAAATCACCAGCAGAGTCAAAAGAAAACCCACAAACTTGGAAAAAATTTTAGCTGATTGTCCCTCAGACAAAGGGCTTCTATCTAGAACATATAAAGAATTAAAAAATTTCAGCCCCTCCAAATTCAAAGACCCAATCCAAAAATGGGCAGTGGAGATGAACACACATTTCTCAGACAAGGAGATAAAAACAGCAAATAAATATATGAGAAAATGTTCAACATCATTAGTCATTCGAGAAATGCAAATTAAAACAACACTAAGATTCCACCTTACCCCAGTAAGAATGGCTAGCATTAAGAAATCAACCAATAACAAATGCTGGCGAGGCTGTGGAGAAATAGGAACCCTTCTCTGCTGCTGGTGGGAATGCAGACTGGTGAAACCACTGTGGAAATCGGTTTGGAGATTCCTCCGAAAACTAGGTTTAGAGGTCCCATTCAACCCAGCTATCCCCCTGCTGGGTATTTTCCCAGAAGATCTAAAAACGTCATATCACAGTGATATATGTGCACCTATGTTCATAGCAGCACAATTTGTAATTGCTAAAATGTGGAAGCAACCCAAATGTCCATCCACCGAGGATTGGATAAGAAAATTATGGTACTTTTATATAATGGGATATTACTCAGCTGTAAAGAAAGATAAACTCGAGGCCTTTATATTTAAATGGTCACAACTAGAGACCATACTCATAAGTGAAATAAATCAAACATACATGTGCAAGCACCGCATTGTGTCACTAGTGTAAAACTTGAAAGAGTTAATTTAAACTCGGAGGTATGATAGATACTGTGAAATAATAGGAAACCACTGAAGAGTAAAGGGCTTCTGGGATGTGGGAAAAGAGAAGGGAAAGAAGGAGAAATGTTGTATGCATGTATATACAGGATAGATAACATGGTTGTTCTTCTGTCTTCTATTTCTATGCTGAAAGAAACTGTCAATGAGTCTTTGGTTGACCAGTATTGCATGTCTATATCTGTTTTCATGAGAAGCCACTTTGAAGATATCAATATGGAATACAACCACCATTGTTAATTCCCTACCACTTTGTTTGTAACTCTGTATTGTCTGTATTGTGCTTGTGATATGTTGTAAAATGTTGTATGTCTGTTAATGTTTCCCTCCTTTTATTTTTAAAATTAAAAAAATTTAAAAAAAAAAAGTAATAGCTTCCTGTGCACCAGCACCCCCCCCCCAGGTGTTACGGGCCTGCGCAGGGGAGCGCTCAGTTCTCTATAGGCTTGGACATGGTCCTTTCCCCCTACTGTACAGACCAGGACACAAGAGCACACTGTGTCCTCCAAACTCCTAAACACATAGTATAGTGAATACAGAAGGCAGGCTCTGTTTTGTAGACAGTAGGATATGGGATTAGGGCACTGTAAGTACAGTGGTGGTGATTTGTTCACAGCTGATATGTAAGAAGTGCTGTCTGTGTGTGTGTGTGTGTGTGTTAAGTGAATTAGCGCAGCCAGTAAGTGGTAGATTCATGATTTGGACTTCCTGCCACTTAGAAAAGAAGCTGCATTTCATTGTAACCATGCATGAGGTCATAGCAGCGTATCTGTGTGGATGTGTGTAATGTGGGTATTCAGCACATACCTAAGTCCCATCAGGGGAACAGAAGAAAAAGGTCAAGGCTACAACAAATTATCAAGGTGTTCTTAGGAGATTACAAAATCCTAACATGAGATGGATTATTATGAGAGAGTATATAGGTCCAAATAGAATCTTTTAGACACCCGTTTTTAGATGCTGAGATGCCAAAAAGCAAGGAAGACGTGGAGGTCGTTACAGATAAAATGGAGGACGATATAAAAACAAAGTAGAGAAAGAAGGAAAGGTTGCCTGAAATATGAACCGTTGCAGAGCAGTAGATCGTAGGTGACTTTTGTTCGGGTAGATTCAGGCACAGAGCCTGTGTCTCTCAGCCAGCATGTAGGATGCCGGCAGAACCACACTGTAAAGAAAAAGTGGGTAGTGCGGATCTAGAGCTCATGAGAATACACATCCGTGTGATTTGGGGCCAGCCGGTACTGCTACAATAGGGGCTGAACTTCTGAATAGTGAGCTTGTGTGTATGGATACAGAGAAAGGCTCACGAAGGAAGAAGCTAAGGATGGGAAGAGAGAGACTAGTGACAGAGCAAGACTATAGAGGGAGGAGAGAGGAAGGGCAGTCCTTAGGTGGGGGCAGGGGGGGGGACAGACCACTGGATATAGATGAGCTTCCCCCCTTTCTTTTGCAAAGATTGATAGAGAAGTGAAGATTGAGTACACAAAAATTGATGTTCCAATGGAAGATCCTCAATTCTTTTTAAAAACTAACCAAGTACATTTCCTTAGAAAGCAGAGGGAAAGATCTCAGGACTAAAAGATGGTAAGAATTGTTTTAATTGAGGCAACAGCTGACAGGAATTTATTGAACATTTAGCCTGAAATAAGCAGATAATTCAGTAGTGAAGACAATAAAGGATAAAGTAAGCATCATTAGAGATCCCAGTAAAATGACATGGCGTGGACTTTTAATGGAGCCCAAAGCATGGTTTCCTAACCTTCGGACCACTTACCATAAAAATGGTTGTTGGGGGAAGGAATGGTACTGCACAGGGTTGAACATTTAAACGACAAGAATGGCGGACAGCGTGAATTCCAGAGTCCCCTGAAGGCAATTTTAGCATGGTCTAAGCTGAGTAATTGGGTAAATGAATACTGACCGGACCTTAGAACCTGAAGATTGTGCTTTGGATATAGTGTCAATTATCAGAAAGGAGGAAATAAAATAGCTGCAGTCAGAAAAAGAATGCCCAAAGTTTGATATCTTCAAGTAAAATATTAGTTCCAAATCCAATATAAAATGCCCTTTGTTGTACTTTAAAAACAATCCGGGAACTGTAAGGCCAGTCTACTAGACGAGCCACAAGTAAAAATAAATGAATACGGAACATGGGAGAGGGTAGAAACAGGAAAGTGGATTGTTAATGATGGTTTTGTTAATGAACATTTTAACAAAAGTAAGTCTTGGATGGTAAAGCTCAAAGGTTGGAGAAGACAAAAATATATTCTAAATTGATAATGAGGGATAAGGATGTTTTTGAGGCTGGCAGCATGTGTAGGGACAGGTCATGTAAAAAGAATAGGTTTGACTTGAAAATTTATCTGAACTAAGCGCAAGCTTTGCTTCTGCACAGCACGAGGAGGCCAGGCCCTCAGGAGAGACCGACAGGGAGACGAGGCGCGTGGCAGGAAGGGGCGTGGGTGCTTGCAGTCAGATAGAATCGTTTTGGCTGCACGGTTTTTCTTCTCTTGTCCACCCTCTCACCGCCTCGCGGGTGCCCCTTCTAACCCTCACAATAGCCCATAGAGCTCAGCACCGCTTACAGCTGCGGAAGCCCTGCTTGTGGAATTTGGACCTCACCCCGCCTACACATACACTGGCCTTTCCACCACAGCATACTGAGGAGCAGTGCTTACGGGGTTAACTGCAGCTTCCAAAGACTAACCAGGGGGGCTGGGGATTTAGCTCAGCGACACACAGCCTGCCTGGCAAGCACGAGGTCGTGAGTTCGATTCCCGGTACCAGAAGAAAACCAAAAACTAACCAGGAATACAGTCTAATTTATACAAGATGGCTAATAGTGTACTTTCTGTGTGTTGCCCTTGAATTACGTTTAGCTCTAAAATACTCTCTATAAGTTTACATATCTAATTTTATATATTTCACTCTTAAGATATGAAGGGATTCCCAAATACATACAGAAGATCACACTAATTTCTGCAGCTATGTCCTAACGCACTAATACTTACAATGCATTATTTTTCAGGTGTGAAAATGAAACCAAGTTCAAAACAGAAGAAGTATTTTGGGCTTACAATTTCTGTCCTACTCCTTACTCCTGGACGGCACTTCTGGGCCTTATTTTGTATCTTGTTTTCTTTGCGCCTGGTAAGCAAAGGCTTCACTGTTTTTATTCTTGTTAAATTGTTTCTTTTTTAGAAGAGATGGGCTGCTATTTTACTAACGTTTTTTTACACCACCACCCCACCAGGGATGGGACCCATGCCTTGGACGGTGAATTCAGAAATATATCCCCTCTGGGCAAGAAGTACAGGAAATGCGTGTTCGTCGGGGATAAACTGGATTTTCAATGTTTTGGTTTCCCTGACATTTTTACACACAGCAGAATATCTTACGTACTATGGTAAGATCTTATTTTTTCGACTGTTTCTCAATGTGCTGTAATTTGTGACTGAGGGACTCTGTGGCTGTATTTTTGCTGGTATGAACATCCCTCTGTGGCTTTCTTGTTCGCCAAAGTCCTCGGAAACGTACCTGGGGGAAGAGAAGAGGAATTCTCCTCTCCTAAGCGTTGCTTCTGATCGCATTGCTGAAAGCTATGGTCAGCCACTCTCCTAACTTCAGCATCTTTCAGCCGCTGCCCGGGTGAGTTCAGGTGTTCAAGCATAGCTTCCAGGTCAACCAGGAAGCCCCAGCCGTTGCGCAAAGTGGCACGTGCCTTTAACGCCAGCGCTGTGGGAGGCTAAGGCACAAGGATCCCACATCTAAGCCTCACATGTGCAAGTTAACAAGATCCTATGTCAAAAAAAAAAGAAATAAAAATAAAAGAGAGGTGTGTGGGAATGTAGCTCAGCGTGAAAGCCCTGGGTTCAACTCCTCCGTACCAGGAAAACAAAGAAATCCTAGAAAGATGGAAACAAGGTGTCTTAGTTACCCTTCTCATGGCCAAGACAAAATACTGACACCCAAATTTAAAGGAGGAAAGGTTTGTGTGGCTCACCGTTTGTGGAAGTTTGAGTTCGTGGTTCGCTCTCAGGCAGGATGGCGTGGCAGAGGGGCATCGCCAAGGAGAAACCATTCATAGCAGCAAGAGACAGCAGTTGCCCTCTTTCTGTCCCTTATTTTCTACTGGGCCATACGGCCTTGGGCCGGTAGCACCCACACCCAGGCTGGGCCCTCCCATCATCCACACCCAGAACTGTGCCAAACCAGTGAGTGGATGGATTCAGTAATCACACACCCGTGATCCCAGCATCTCACACCCTAAGTCCAGCCCCCTCTGGAGAGCGCCCCCTATGACACAAGCCACAACACAAAGCCAAGAAGTGCTGTCCCAGGGTTGGAGCTGAATCCAAGAGCAGAATCTGTACTGAGCTGCAAGTAGCTTGGCCAAAGGTTCACAGATGCGGTCTGCTGTGTGCATGGATCCACCGCGTGTCGACGCTGTTAGGCCAACGCGTGTGCTTGGCAGTCCTCAGAGGCCAGCACCTCCCACTTCTGACACTGCAGGTGTGACGGGGATGTGCCATCACAGTGTGTGTAGACGGTGCTTCAAAGAAGGCGGTATTGAGAAATAGCTGGGTTAGAAAAACACTTTCAGATTCATTTGTACAAAAGCAGATGAGACATTTCTGCCACATCCACATGACTGCATCAGTGTGATAGGAATGTAACAGATGACATGTGACATTGTCATCCTCCTCTCGCCACAGGCCCCTGGGGTACATGTGGGCTACTGCTGCTGAGGTTCTAGGGAGCCCACTTTCATGCCCTGCCCCAGCCCACCTCACTGCCTGCGCTGGGTACTTAACACTGCTTTTGCCAGCATGGATTTCCTTGTCTGATCCCCGTCCCCTACCCTGCGGGGCCCGAACTATACTCCTTGTTCCTTCCAGAGTCCCCTGTCCACATGAGAAGACTCAAAAGTATTTGTCTAATGAATAAATACGTGGGCAGATTTTGTAGAAGAATGGTGAAATCAGAAAACATAAAAATTTATTTCTCTTCTAACATGGTAAATTGGTATTTGTGTTTTGTTAATACTATTTATCTAATGCTTTCATTACCCTTTTAAAACTCTTCCAATCACTTAGAACATTTGGAAATATTTGTTTTTTAGGAAGGACAGTGTACTAGCATTTTAAGCTGGATATATATTTAGAATACTCAGTTTATTCTGTTTGTAATGAAACATTTTTGCAATAAACTCATGAACATCTCTTCATGAGCACATGAAGATAAATACGAGCACAACAGTTACTCCTTCTTGCCCATTCAGCAGAATGCTTAAGTGTTTGAAGATCTAAATATATGCCAGCATCGTGAGAAAACACTTTTTATGGAAACTCCTAGTGCACATAATAAGTCTATGGTGTAATACTTTGGATAGCAAGGCTCCTCTTTCTTGGCTCTGTTCTGCCAGAAAAAGGAGGCAACAGAGTGAAATTGAAATGGGGCACCAGCGTGCTGTTTTCAAGAATGTAGCTGGTTAGGAGCATTTCCCTTCGCATTCAGCTTCTCTCCTGTCAGCACCCTGGCCCATCAGTCTGCTGTTTTCTAAAGCATGGGAAAATATTTCAGTGCAGATGAGGTTTTCCTTTTTGTGTGTGATATTTTAATCTACATGTTACTGATTTACGTAAGCTGTGTATTTATATTCCTGACCTAACGCATATACAGCCTGATATTCCTCTCTGGAAATGCCCATGTCTCCTTTGTTTCCTTTTTTTGATTCCTTCCAAAGTTTGATTCCTTTCTAAACCATACTTCTTAGACAGGCTTCCCTTATACATTGTTCTGCATGTTTATCTGTAAAGGTTTAAAAGATCACGAGTACACCATGTGACACATAGCATGTACGGCGTAGCAGGCCTATGGAGAGCATCTCATCAAAGGTCCTGGTTTGAGTCACTGAAATTCAATCATATATAGTCTTTGATTCCTCAATTTGTATAATTCAATGAAAGATTTGTTTTAATCTGGAATCTAATGTAAGACTCTAATAAGATTTATTTTCTGCAGAATAAGCCTGAGGAATATCTGCACTGCTTAACAGTCCTGCGACAGACTTGTTACACACACTGATTTTCATTTTCATTCTGAGAAGGAATTACCAAGAGTGAGCAGTATTGCTGACCTGATCATGACACAGAGCAGGCCTGCCCACTCTCCCCTGCGGCGTAACCTCAGATTGCCCCGGGAACCCACACTTAGCAGGCATTTGGGCATCTGCTGGCTTTGGATTCCTCAGATTTCCTTAAGAGGCTTATATTTTGATGGAATTTCTGTGATGTTATTTGGGCTTGGAATCTGGGTTACAAAGAAGAATCTGTATCATCTTTAAGAATTTTCCTAGTCCAGCAACCTGTTTCTTACTATAAGAGCTTATCACTGACAGATTTTGTTGCTTCCAGCTATGCTGCTGTTCCAAACTTATGAAAGATGACGATGATAAAGAAAAAATATATTTTGTAAAGCTTTTGTATGGATTTCTGTGGCTGAGCAGTCTGGTTTAGTCTAAAATGTTCACCATCTGTACTTTCTTTTCTGTGTCATCCTGAGTACCCCTTTTCTTTCCCTTCCTCCCCAAAGATTCCATTTCTGTTACTCTGTCCAGGGTTCTGACAGTCCGCCTTCCCCCTCCTTGTCTCTTGTTCAAATCACCTCGTTCTTGAAGAGGCTTTTCACTGTCATCCCTTTTCATGAAAATATCTCCAAGTATGTTATATTAATCCTATCTTTAATAGCAACTCACCTTCCCTAGTCAGCATTTAATTGTGCTGATTATCACATTTTTGAGCAATTAATGTCCAACACTCTAATGGGCGTGCAACATGCTTCTATCTATTCTTTAAACAATGCAGGAGTTCTTTGCCCATTACACTGATCAGGAAATGAATTTCAAGACAATCTTTTGCCCAAGCATTCCACACTTCCATGTCACGATACTGTGGCTTGCAGACCACGTTCTCCACAGAGCTGTGGAGCTGGTTTCTCTCCCCGGGCCATGCACCCAGGTGACCTAGTATTATTTTCTGATTATTTTTTAAGTATAGGCCATAAAGAATACAAGCTGTCATCAGTACTATGAACCAAAATAAAGTGAAATATATTTATAAAATAATTGGATTTCATTAAGCAGAGAGTTTGATTTATACAAATCCCACTCCTTAAAGATGGCTCTTCTTAAATTAACGAATTGATTGAGTTAACCCTTGAGTGATCTCTCATAATCTACCTCCGTGCCTGTTCTGTTTTCTGTTCTGCAGAGCAGGGCTTTGGAGGAGCCTGTTCAGCAGCGTTTCCATCTGTGGGCTTCTCAGGGTCTGGTCTGCCCAAGGCACATTCCTAAGGAGTCTTTATCTGTGGGTCCCTGACTGCGCTGCTCCATCAGCGGAACTGAGAAATGTCACTCGGTTCTTCTGACTTGCACATAGCAGCCTTAAGCTCGGCCTGGAAATATCTTCCTGTTGTCTGCTTCAGCCCTTTGTTTTGGATCTGCGCCCGCCAGATGCCACTGGCGACTCACCAGACCGTTCTGGTTCTCTAGCCCAAACGTGTCCAGCACGCTGACTGCACACACCCTGGGCCAGGAACAGGGTTTCCGCACCCCACTGCGCAGTCTCCGGCTCCCACTGCAGAGATAGCCGCGGGGCGCTCAGCAGGCAGGCCCGGCACAGTGCCAACCCATGTGCAGCGCCCGCGGTGGCCTGCAAAAACCCACGCGCTTCTCATAATAGCTCACCCTTGGTACACGTGCGTGTTGCCTTTGTTCAGCAGATATGTAAGTTTTCCTTTTTTTAGAAGTAATGGGGATTGAACTCAGGGGTGTTCTTACAACTGAGCTATATCCCAAGCCCCTTTAAAAAAATTGTTTTTTGAGTCAGGGTCTCACTAAGTTGACCAAGTGGGGCTTAAACTGGCGATCCTCCAGCCTCAGCCTCCCAGAGTGCTAGGCTTAAGGACATGCGCCACCATGCCCAGCCAAATTTTCTTAATTTATATGCAGCCCAAGACACTTCCTCCGCAGTCCCAGTGGCCCAGGGAAGCCAAAAGGTTGAACACCCCCGCTCCACACTGCAGTGTCAGGCGCTGTATTGTTCACGGCCTCTGCCCCCACGGAGAGGACTCCTACTGACACAGAGGAGCAAGTACCTGTCAAGTATCTCTATAGCAACCCTCTGAAAACGACTTCTGCTTTCAGCTCTAGTATTTATAGAATCATAAATTGCCCGTGCTTAAATACCAGCTGAGAATCCATCTTATTTCACTTAATAAGGAAACTAAGGCACAGGAAGGCAGTTAAATGACTCCAGTGTGCAACTCCAGACCTTCCCATTCCTCATCTGACATTCTTTCTCCAGCCACTTGTCACATGAGCTTTTCATCTTTCTCATCCACCTCACCTACAAGATGATGCAGACCAGCGATGGCGAACCTTTTAGAGCTTTCAGGGATACGGTAGCCCACTGCAGCAGGCGTGCCTTGGATTTTGCTACCACTGCTCTAAACTGAAGTCCTAAAAGCAGCAAGGGATTCCTTTAGAGTTAGTTCCCTACCACCAAAGTAAAAGTATGGGTTGTCTTACTGTGTAAAACGCGTTCCCACTGCCTGGACCCCCCACTGGAACATGCGTGACTGTTCCAGAGGGCGGCTTGTAGTACCTGATGGGACAGTCGTGCATGTACCACCAGTGGCTCAGAGCTGTCTGGCAGAGAGACATACAAATTATGGCCCTGTCATGCACATGTTATATAGCAAACTGGATTTTAAAGAAAAAGCCCTCTTGGAGATAATGCAGAGAAGACAAGCCATATATTCCTGTATCTCATCCACCTAAGCTTTCTTTGTTAACACTTAGAAAACACAACCAGACAATATCTTTATCTGTGGCTATGACACACAGAATCTTAGAGCAAAATAGAGTCTCTGACCTCACAGAGCTTGAATTTGCACTAGCAGGAAACAAAAAACAAACTAGTAAAATTTACAGGACATGAGTTGGTGATAAGGGTTATTAAGGAAAAACTGGGATCCAGCGGCAGGCCTCAGGGAAGATCAGTTAGGAAAGTGACCTACACAATAGCATAGGTAAGGGAAGGCAGATCTTAAACCACAGATGGCCGTAGGTGTGGTGGGATATGGTCATCTTGGGGTATATTCTGAGGGTAGACAACAGGGTCTCCTAACAGAACAGATGTTAGGTGTGAGGGTGAGAGAAAGGTCAGGGTTGACTCCCAAACTTGGGGCCTGAGAAACTGGAAAAATGGTGTTGCCAGGTGCAGTATTCAGACATTAATTCTGCCTCTACTCTTAGGAGACACGACAGATGCAGGCATGCACATCATTAGAACTCTGGTTATTAAGACATAAGACTTCTCAACACAGTGCTATGGAAGTGTGTGGGAGGGAGGAAGTCCCTCTAGTCAGGAAAGAATTAAAAGCAGAACTTGTGTCGAGTCTGGTCTATTATTCTTCTTGAGTGATATTCAGTGATTTGCATTATATTCACAGAGGTTAGAACGTTCAGGTAAACCAACCAGATTGGTGGATTTTGGTCCCATTCCATACTATGGTTATTGCATGACTGACTGGGGAAAAAAGCCGAAGTCAAGTATTCTTTCCAACTCAAGCATATACATATATATATGTACGTGTGTGTGTGTGTGTGTGTGTGTGTGTGTGTGTGTGTGTGTGTACACATTCATATACACTGTTTGTCACTGCAGGAGCCTTCTTCCTCTATGCTGGATTTGCAGCCGTGGGACTTCTTTTCATCTATGGCTGTCTTCCTGAAACCAAAGGGAAGAAGTTAGAGGAAATTGAATCGCTCTTTGACAACAGGCTATGCACATGTGGTACTTCAGATTCTGATGAAGGAAGATACATCGAGTACATTCGGGTGAAGGGAAGTAACTATCATCTGTCTGACAACGATGCTTCTGATGTGGAATAATGTAGTCCCCCAAATAATCGTAGGAGGAAGGCAGCGGTCGGTAACCCTGCTGCCCTCCTCCCAAGGTAGTCCTTCCCGGTCTCGTTCTGAATGACTTTCATGTTCTAGAATATTTGGCAAGAAATGCAGCCTTGATATTTTTTCACAAACAAAAATGTAAAAAAAAAAAAAATCAGATTTTAATGTAACAAATCTGAAGCAAATGTAACTCCCTCCTGAGAAAGTCTGAAATGAGTTCTGTACCCAGTAACTTCAGTGGTACCCTTTTTTCCAAGAACATACATAATCAGTGGCAAGAGGGTCCTTGCTAATCTAACCAAAATACTATGTATTTATGAAGGATTCTGAGTTGGTCCACGGGTGTTTTATGTCAAAACAAGGCCTATTCACCCTAATTTTTTCAAACGACTAGTAGTTTATCTGTGGTCAGCTGATAGAAAATAAATTCCATTTCAACTTTCATCAACAAATTCAGAAGTACGTTCTATAAGAGTACAGCTGCCCTTATGTCCTTAGCTTGCACATTTTGGGTTCTGTACGCATTTCAGATATTGAAAGTTCTTCAGAGACTGACTGACTCCACACAGAACCTTGTGAACATGATTAAAAGCAGGTCTTTTAGGGATTATTTTCATACCTTCTTTGCATCAGTGATAAGCATATTTGCACAGAGAAGCTTGCAAGTTTTGATAAGTATATTTTATTGTCAGAGAAAGAAAGAAAAGATTTTTATAGATCCCTAATTCATCAGAACTGCAATTGTAAATGCAAAATGCCAGGTTTTTAACTGTATTTCAGGGTCAGTTTTTGTTCATGCCAAACTCACATCTTCATTGGCTCTGGAGTCCTACACTCTTTGTGCCTTCATTGGTGTTCTATAAATAGCTGCTAGCATGTTGTCATTCCCTTTCTTTTAATCAAACAGTAATTTCTGAAACAAGAGAGGAAGGAAATCAGTGGCAGAAATAGTCCTGCTGTTAGTGATGTTTAATTAAAATCATGGGACTTATTTTTCCTTAACTTTTTATTAACTCCTGCTAAGGAAACTGTCACATTTTATTGTGTATGTCCTTTTTTACTCTAAGAATATAGACTAGTTTTTATTTTGCACATCTTTTTTTCATTTTCCCTGACAGTTTACCAAAAATCAAAGACACTTAGATTTGTCTCTGTGTTTTTTCTTTATCCCATGTTGGTTTGGTTTTCCTGGTCTAAAAATTGAGATTTTTCTGTGGGAACATAAATGGTTCTAATATATATCATGTCTGTAAGAAATGCTAACTTAATGAAAAGATATTTCTGTACTGTATTTTTCAAAGTGTTTTCTCTGATTTCTATGTATATTCATCCATAAATGCTTAATTATTGCCCTTCTATTAAGAACTGTAGAATACATACAAAATTACTTGCTCACATAGTGAGTTTATTAAAAATATGAATAAATCATCTGCAGCTAGTTACAAATACATCTACTGGTGTACTATATTTGGGGCGAAAAGGTGGCTCTCAATAAATTCAAAGTATTTCTGCCAGACTCTTAAGATGCTTTGTTCTTAAGTTTGGCTTGTGAAGATCGCAGTCAGCAAGCTAAAAATGTGCTGAAGAAGCTCATGCCCAGTGTCACCGGAGGTACTTAAAAAGTCACTGCAGTGCCCTGAAACCTTTCAACCAAAAAAGTCTCCATCTGACCATTTCATATTAACAAATGTAGTGTTTCAGAAAGTAGTTTTTCCTTGAATTAGGTGCTTTGACAGTTGATTTTCCCCAGAAAAGCAAATATAATAGGGAAAATTGTGTTATTGATATTTCTTATCCCATAAGAAATTTCTTATCTGTGTAATATTTTAACACAGATACAATGAAAATGAGTTATGATGTGATAAAATCACATTACGGGGAGAAAAATATTTTGAGCAGTATTCTCTTTAAAAACTTATTTTTCTGATTTGTTCAAACAAATGCCTCAATTCTCTTACTCTCTACATAGCCTTAATTATATACTTATATTCAGCTGGGCTGATGCACACTAACTTTATTAAAGGAGCAACGAAACTTATTATTTCCTACAGCAGAACATGGCTTGTTCTCCCTGACCTAACGAAGTATTTTCAACTTTATATCCATAAATGCACAAAGTAACAGGGAAAACCAGCCACCGTTCTCCTGCCCTCCTCCCTTCAGCCCTTCTTTAAAAGACTCTTATTTATACAGTGATAATACTATTCCATGTGTTTGAAGTAAAAGACAGAAAGGTACAGTATAAGAATTATTTATAACTTTTTAAAAATAATTACTTGAAAAGGAACATTTGTAGTACACTATAAATTGAAGTTTAAAATTTGCAGTTTTTTTATATTATACACCTTTTACGTTCCCAGTGTTTTTTGGCTACTATCAACTTGAAAACATCCCATCTGAGATATTATCGTATATATATTTTATAAGATAATTTGTATATGGTGTGATTTGACCTGCCATATTAAAACAGACACGGATCAAGCGTCAACTAAAAGTACAGGTTTCCTTCTAAACATGCTGCAAATTCCACAGAAGTATATTTTGTTTTGGGAAAATACGGTGAAAAATGTCATGCATGCTTCTGAGGCTTAGCCGGATGGGGGTATCACTAAATTTAAAAGATATCATTTTGCCTACATATAAACACACAGTGCTGAATGTGACGTCAGAAAGGCTTGCTGTTGATATTTTTCTTCTATGTAAGCATTCCTCATAACTGTGCTGCACCTTAGTCATTATCTAAAACACTTTCATATATATGGTTCCATTTGGAATTTTGCCCCCAACCGTACACTAGTTGGTTGGTAGCTTCCAGAGAGAAAGTGCTTTGGGAATGATACTAAAGTATTTTTCTAAATTTACCACTGAACTAGATTTTAGTACAGTCTAAGTATTATTTTTAAGTTATGTACTCTAAAATGTGATATCAAAGCAAGGAACTTAGCAAATTTTTACTGTAATTTCATTATCTGTTAAACAGAAGGATGATTAGAAAAATATAACTTGTCAACTTACTCTTCTTCTTAAATGGTGAAGTAAAACTGAAATGTATTCTAATAGTCCATAGATTGTGGAGGTGAAAGGATGGAACATTTTAGAAAACTCCATGTTATCTTAAAAACCCTCACAATTTAATTACTAATATAGTTCATTAATTCTGTAATACAGTGCAAAAGTGGAGGATTATTATGATTTGATATATCAACACCATCAATAACATGATGTTTTGTTATAATCAGAATTTTTGTACTCTTTTCTAAAGTATATCAAAGTATGCTAACAAAGGACTTTTTTCAGTTGTTGAAATAAGTTTTCAGTTACCAGATGTGGACCATTTCACTAAGTAGGATTAAAAGAATTAGATGACATAGCCAGCGAGGAGCAGAAATTCCTATTTGCTTTAGGGCAAACTCTGTTAAGTTGGGGTAAAATTTACAGCTCATGTAGCTGCTGCCTATTTAAAAAAAAAAAACAAACAAAACCCTCAGTATTGTTCTCTGGCTTTTAGTGTCCTGCATTCAGTCGCTTTTTATCAGTCTTCTTAGCCTCACATGCAGTAATGTTAAGCTAATTTGACAAAGTAGTTCCGATCATAGCAATATGTAAATTGCCGTATATTCAGTTCTTCCAGGTGAGCAATACTACTGCTATTGTCCAGAAATAATCATTTTAAAATGCCAAACAGCTAATGGCTACCAACTCTTTCTTCTATATTGTCTCTCTAAAGAACAGTTTTGTGCCAATAATCGTCAGAGAAGTGTTTTGCAAGAGCATCAACATTCAGAAATATGTGAAAGTATCTTACCCTTATAATTAGCTTGTAAGTATAAAAATATAATTCTTACAAATCTTTACATGTATAAAATATTGTATACTCAAGTAATTCGGTCTACAAAATACCTTCATTTACAAATAATATCCACATTTTATTTTAGACAGTTAAATTCATGTGTTTGGTTCTCTCAAATCAATCAGTGTAAATCAGAAAAGGAACATGAAGCTATATAGTACCTAAAATTAATACTCTGCAAAGTTTGAGATTGTAATAAATGTAAAATCATTTCATTCTCATTTAAAGGGTAAAAAATAACAGGTTTAACTAGCTGAAGTACAATTTTCTGTTCTACACATCCAAACTGTTTCCTAGCAGCTTTTGGACAATATCTCACTTGATGTTATCTTTTATTCTTTATAAATGTTCAAATTTCTATTTAGAAGCTTTAATGTACAACTAGGTTAAATCAGAAGTTTTATGCTTTTAAAATATATGTATTTCAACTGTATTTTAATTTCTGAGTGCATGTTATACAGTGTTTAATACTTCACCTGTCTTGGCAAGTTTCAATATATTTATTCCCACATGTGATATTTGGATTATCTCTTTAAAATGATGACTGTGTACCACTTCCTGAAATCATCTTAGCCTTTGCTGTATCAGAAGTATTGTATATTTTATGGAGATTTAGCGATATACATGTAAATGTTTTTTAAGTTATTTTATTGAAGTTCAATCTTTACATAAAATTAAGATCTTTTTTTTTAAAAAAAAGTGTCAGTGCCAGAACTATAAATGAAATAATTAAATAAAGTTAAAAAAAGAATTACTCATTTATTTCCCTTGCGGTTTTCATTTTCTCTTACGTTGTCCACTGGATTTTAGCATGTAGGTTAAAACATCTACAAAGATAATCTACCCTGATATATTAATGCAGTCCCACACATTTTAATATGTACTTCTTTTGATCACAGATAAGGTAATTAGCTTCAAAAGTTACTTTTGGTTATCGCCAAGTGAAAATGAAGTAGGAGCTCAGTGGCTGGCTGAGACGCTTTGGGAACGCTCTGTTGCTCTCCGCTGCCATGCTGCCCCAGCCATACCTTTTATTAACAAGTACGTGTGCCTAGCATGGGCAGTAGGGACCTGTCTGCATGGTCCCTAGTTGTGTGGCATCCCTGAGCCTTGTGGTACAAGGAGCCCAAGGAGATCCTCTGAAGACACAAGACCTCCTGTCAAAGGCTTACATGAATTTGCTTCTAGCTAAGGGATTTAATGTCAGCTGTAAGGTAAAAATGACTCCTGCAAATCCCGGGTAAGTTGTCCACTCACCCGAATAGTGAACACCTGGATGGTGTATGTCTGTATTAGCTACCATAAAAATGCTCATTTCATTTTCCAGGAGTGCTACTATTGACATTTTCTGCACCCAAAACTTAAATGGAGAACATTTTAGTGACTCCTCCACAATCGTGCACTAAGAACTGGCCCAGAATTTTCTCTGCAGTGACGATTCCCAGGCTTCCTCTGCAGGTCAGCTGGGGCATCATCTTTGCACACCTTGCCACGCTGATTACCAAAACAGGGACAAACATGGAACTCTTGCATCATGACTTGGAGTGTCCAGAAAGACAACCCGACACCTCACTTCAACCTGGATCATCAAACCTATCCTGGAACTCTTGATTTGGGGACCCTTTTCAAATGTGAGGTGATAACGTGGAATCTTTTGAAGAGGTCAGAAGACTCAAATTATTTTGGTTCCTAACCCACCCCTTCTACTTACTCTCTGGTAACCTAAATTATGGACCTGAGATAAAGTACTTTGCCTCACGTTCACTGTCTCTAACACAGAGCTGGACGGATGGTGCTAGCTGCCTCGTACATCTGGCAAGAGTTATGCGGATTGAGTATGTCAAGTACGTGGAACAGTGGTGGGCAGGGCTGGGTGGGTAACTGCTGCCCCTTCTTGGTTGCATCATCCATCTGCCATCCCCGACACTCAGCACACAGGCAATTGCTGAGCCCCTTCCTAGGGACGATTGCCAAGGACAGGCGCGGGTGAGCTGCACACACCATCCCTTCTCCTGGCATGTGCGTGCTGACCTTGAGTAGCCCGACGCCCCGCTTCCTCCCTCCACCGCTTCCTCTTGAAAGGCAAAGCTGATAGAAAGCACAAGCTTCTCATATTCGCCAGATCAACAGGATTTAATGCAGAATTTCCGTGTATGTCCTCTCAGTCAAGAAAAATATAATCTGAGAAAATTTCTTAGCAACTTATTAAAATCCTTTCATTATATAGAAAAAGTAACTTTTGAAAGCCTCTCCAAACAAAAAGAGACACTGACTCTTCACTGATTGGCTATATTGAAATTAAATTCATATTACATAGATGCCATGAATGCAATGGGAAATGTGGAGGCAATGTTTCTGCTTGACCTTAAAAGTATCTTGGATTTTTTCACAGCGCCTAAAAGACTAATTTCAAGTGATTAGTATGCAGAATAAGTTCATTTTTCACATACGACGATATTTTAGTATTCTTTACTTTTCACATACAGGGAAATTTTGGTATGCTTTATTTTTGGTGGATGAATACTAAACTCTCAGCAAGCACACATTAGAGCAGTGGTTCTTTGAGTATGTCCTCGTATTAAAGAAACACGCTTTATCAGTGAACCTTAGCAGAGCAGAGATGCTTCAGTGAAACAACATTCTGCACAGTATGAACACGCTCATAG